GAGGGCCCGGCCCTCCTGAGCAAGCCAATAGCAAGGCGCAATGCCAAAGGGTCCCGCCCCTCGGGCTAGCAAAGGCCTCTGCGAGCGTGGCCAACGAGAGGGGGCGACGTGTGCGAGTCCCGCCCACCTGGGCAGGCGGGAGCCGGCGGAGGTGGCGTGGAGCAGCTGATCTTTTCTGACCCGGCGCACGCACCCGAGAACGTTTAGCAGACAGCCGGCTACAGCTGCTAGCACGCGGTGCACACGCCCCTGGCTGCTGCCTGCCTGCCCGCCCAGGTGCTGAGACTGGCAATGAGGCCTGACCGAGGATGGAGGGGCCTTAAGGCCACCCCTCCGCAGACACTGCGGGCCTTGAGTACCGCGTGGGTGGCTCTTGCCCACAGTCCCGTGGAGGAGAACTAAATAAAAAGGAAAGGCATGGACATGACGGCTCCTCGGTACGGTGAAGGAGAAAGTTTATTATACAGATATATGGGAGAGCATAACCAGAGGCTGAGACATCTGGGAGGAGAGCCCTCGCCTTTGTATGGATGGGCGCGGTCCATTGACTATAAACAATAGCTTTCATGTAAGCCTTGCGTCCACTGTGTGCCAAGCATTGTGATGTGTACTTCATAAGTGATTGTAGGTGGTTGCTATTATTTTTATCTGCACTTAGGCATGAAGATGTGAGGAAATTGTTCTGATCATGCTGAATTTAGATGGCAAACCTACGACTCAAATGTGAGACAAACGGCCCGTGGTTCGCCTATTTAACATATCAAAGTGGGCCTGGCTGCCAGGTCCTCCCAGCATCCTTCAGTTCCTTGGAATGACTTGTATGTCTGGCATACCCTACCCTGTACCCTGAACTTTCCAGCCCAAGGTCTGAGGTGCCCTAACCCCCAGAGGCTCTTTCCTATATAATCCAGACATTTTGATTACCGGCCCTTTTTTACCTTACTGAAACACCTGGCTCCCATTTCCCCTCCTCTCCTCACATGGCTCAGCTCAGCCTGGTCACGTCCACTCTGAACTCTCCCAGGTGTCTCTGCCTCTGGCTATGCTCTCCCACATATCCATAATAAACGTTATTCACCATACCTAGGAGCAGTCGTGTCCTTTTTCTTTCTTTCTCTCAATACCCAAATGGGAGAAGTCTGAAGCCTAAAGACTTGGTAGGGCTAGAGATAGACATTTGGGAATAGCTGCTTGGATGTGGTCTTTATTTTCTGTATTCTATCTCATCTGTAAATGGAAAAATGTGATCAACCCCTTCCAGATCTCCCTCACTGCTGTCATCAGGTGGTCACTTTGTATATCAAATATGAGATGCGCGGTGGTGACACACACCTTTAATCCCAGCCCTGAGGAGGCAGAAGCAGGTGAATCTCTGAGTTTGAGGCCAGCCTCACCTACAGAAAGAGTCCCAAGGCAGCCAGGACAGCAAAGAAATCCTGTCTCGAAAAAACAAACAAACAAAAGAAATAGCAAATATGGATATTTCCTATCAAATACTCTAAAAACTTGTGCTTAGGACAAGGACTTTTTAATCTTCGCTGCTTCGAAAGACTTTCATGGAATGTTTTTTGTTTTTGTTTTCCTGAGACAGGGTTTCTCTGTGTAGCCTTGGCTGTCCTGGAACTCACTTTGTAGACCAGGCTGGCCTCGAACTCACAGAAATCTTCCTGTCTCTGCCTCCCAGGTACTGGGATTAAATTTACCTTTTATTATCCTTTAGTTTTAGGGTTTTTGTTTTTTTGTTTTTGGAGACAGGGTTTCTCTGTGGCTTTGGAGGCTGTACTGGAACTAGCTCTTGTAGACCAAGCTGGTCTCGAACTCACAGAGATCCGATTGCCTCTCCCTCTGAGTGCTGGAGCTAAAGTGTGCGCTGCCACAGCCCGGCCTAGTTTTAGTTTTTAAAGTGATTTTGAAGGCTGGGTGTGGTGATGCATATCTACAACCCCAGCTGTCAAGAGGCTAAGAACCTGAAGTCTTGGACTACACAGCAAGACTTCAACACACACAAATATACTCAAAGCTATGAATGCTTTGCCAACACTAAGTTGCAAGGTTTTCCTTTGAAAGTTTTGAAAGTAGATATGTGATCCAGTTTTTAAAGTATAAGGTTTAGGTTCAAGACTTTTCTGTATGAATATGTTATTTTTTTCAGCATCATTTGTGAAAACTCTTTTTATTCAGCTGTTTTTGCAGGTTTGCCAACCAGTGGGCCCAGTTGGCCATATTCCTTGAGCCTATTTGGGAACTCTTCTCTTCCACTGAGATATGGGTGTGTATAGCTGTATAGTAACTTTTACATTTTGTTTATGTTTGTTTCCTTTTCTTTGAGATGGGGTCTAATATAATGTAAACTGAACTCAAACTCAATAGTTAAGGATGACTTTGAACTTCCTGTCCTCCTGTTCTTACCTGTCATATATTTGGATTACAAGAGCTAGTTCCAGGACAGACAGCCTCCAAAGCCACAGAGAAACTCTGCCTCATAAACAAAAACAAAAACAAACAAACAAAAAACATCCCAGAGCTTGGTGTTGGTGGCACACACCTTTAATACCAGCACTCGGGAGGAAGAGGCAGGCAGATCTCTGTGAGTTCAAGGCCAGCCTGGTCTCCAGAGCGAGTGCCAGGATAGGCTCCAAAGCTACACAGAGAAACCCTGTCTCAAAAAAACAAAACAAAACAAAACATCCCAGACTCTTTGGGTGTATGGACACTGCTTCATGTTTGGCTTCTTCCTGCTGACAAGGGACAATGTGGGGGAGGGGGAGAGTCAGGAGTTGGTGGGTTCATGCTCAGCGGAAGGTGAGGGTGAAGAAGCATCTGTTTAGCTGCCAGTCTATAGACCTCAGGCACCAGTTCCTTGAGTTGTAGAAGGCAGGTTGCTAGGAGAAAAAAAATAGATTATTATCATCAGCCCTATGAATGGGCCTAGCTATGGGAAGGGTGATAACTGACAGGATGAAGGGAATGGAGAAGTGTCCTAGTTGTACAGAAGAGGCAAAGGTGAGCGAGACAGGAGAGCAGGTGTGTCCTTCATTGGAACAGCTTGGAAAACCAGATTCTAGTTGTTAGGTTAGGTTTCCTCTTTT